CAGGTTCTTACTCATCTACACCTAGTACTAGGTTGGCCAAAAAGTTCGTTTAGTTTTTTCCGTACGATGGTTCTAGTAGTGCTTAGTTGTCTTTAACTTCATTCAAAACAATTTTATTAGCTTGCATTGTGACAACTGTCATATCAGCATACATTTTTAAAAAATTTACCAAATTGGTGAATTTTTGTGGAGCCATTTAAATATTGAAGATAGAATAAGCAATATTTTTGGCGTATTATGCTTTATTATTTCAAGAAAAGTAAAAATGCAACTGAAACGCAAAGAAAAGATTTCTGCAGTATATGGAGAAGGTGTTGTTACCGACCAAACGTGTCAAAAGTGGTTTGCTAAGTTTCTTGGTACTACTGACATTTTGGTCAAATAATTCTTTGCTATGGAACTGTGTCATATATTGGAAGATGTTTAGCAGCACCCCTGGCCTCTGCCCACTAGAAGCCAATAGCAGGAGACAGCTGACTTACTCAAAATATCCAAATCAATAAAGTTATTGGTGAAAAAGAAAAATGTGTCTTTTATTTTATGGAAAAAATGAAATGGACTTTTTAGCCAACCCAATAGCACCAGAGTCTTCTCACTGGTGTCTCAGCATTGAGCCATTCCCCACTACAATTTTACATACTACTTGCTGATGTATTGCAGTTGTGCCCTTTTTTCATAATCTCAACCAAAATATAATTTTACATTTAGTTGTGATTTATGCTTAATATTGGCCTCCTTGCTCTGACCAGTGTAGCTCAGTTGATTGAAACATCATCCCATAAACTGAAAGATTGCAGGTTTGATTCTAGGTCAGGGCATATATCTAAGTTTTGGGTCCAATCCTGGTCCAGGCACCTACGAGAGGCAACCAGTCAATGTTTCTCTCTCATATCGATGTTTCTCTCCCTCTCTTCCTCCCTCCCTTCCCCTGTCTATAAAAAATCAAAAATAAAATTAAAAGAATTTAAATGATCACTTACCAGAAATTTTGTATGGTTTAAATTATCATCTGCCCAAATTGGAGAAAGTAAAACACAGAAATATTAAGTGACCTAAGTTAAGACAGCCTGGTAAAGTCAGGTTTGCAAGCCATACAGGTTTACATCTGTGACTAATGTGCTATAAATTCCCAGCAAGATGACTGGTCTAATAGTTTAGGAGGTGTAACCTCTAAGCTTTAAACAAGAATTATTTGCATGGTATTAGAGAATATACAAAAAGTCAAGAAATGATGCAAAAGCAAATTCAGCAAAAGAATCAAATATTTACATTATTTAAACAGCTCATGTTTATTCCTGCTTCTGGGATTATCGTTCTCCTCAATGAACTCTTTTGTCCCAACTTTTCCTCCTTTGCCGTCTTCCACCCAGCACCCCCCACTCCCTCAGGCAATCCTCACACCATCGTTCATGTCTATGGGTTATGCGTTTAAGTTCTTTGGCTACTCAGTTTCCTACACTACACTTTACATTCCCATTGCTATTTTGTAACTGCCTGTTTGTACTACTTAATCCCCTCATCTCTTCACCCCTTGCCCCATTCCTGCCTCCCATCTGGCAACCATCAAAATGCTCTCCATATCCATGATTCTGTTCTTCTTGTTTGCTTTGTTTTTTAGATTCAATTGTTGATAGATACATATATATTGTCATTCTATTGTTCATAGTTTGGATCTTCTTTTTCTTAAATAAGTTCCCTTAACATTTCATACAACAATGATCTGGTGATAATGAACTCTGTTTTTTCTTGTCTGAGAAGCTCTTCATATGCCCTTTGATTCTAAATGATAGCTTTGCTGGGTAGAGCAATCTTGGCTGTAAGTCCCTGCTTTTCATGACTTTGAATATTTCTTGCCAGTCCCTTCTAGTCTGCAAAGTTTCTTTTGAGAAATCAGCTGACAGTCTTATGGTAACTCCCCTATAGGCAATTATCTTCTTTTCTGTTGTTGCTTTTAAGATTCTCTCTTTATCTTTAACCTTTGGCATTTTAAATATGATATGTCTTGGAGTGGGGCTTTTTGTGTCCATCATGTTTGGGACTCTCTGTGCTTCCTGAACTTGCATGTCAATTTCCTTCATCATATAAAGGAGGTTTTCTTTCATTATTTTTTCAAATAGATTTCCAATTTCTTTTTCTTTCTCTTCTCCTTTTGGCACCCCTATGAGGCAAATGTTGGAATGCTTGAGGTTCTCCCAGAGGCTCCTTACGCTATCTTTGTTTTTTCTTGTATTTTTTTCTTCTTATTGTTCTAAGTGGTTGCTTTTTGGTTCCTTATGCTACAAATCATTGATTTGATTCTCAGTTTCATTAATGTTACTGTTTTTCCCTGTAAATTGTTCTTTATTTCAATGAGTGTACCTTTGTTTCTGACTGGATCTTTTTATGCTGCTGAGGTCCTCACTAAATCCCTTGAGCATCGTTATAACCAGTGTTTTGAACTCTGCATCTGATAGATTGCTTATCTCCATTTCATTTAGTTCTTTTTTTCTGGAGTTTTGATCTGTTCTTTCATTTGGACCATGTTCCTTTGTTTCCTCATTTTGGCAGCTTCCCTGTGTTTGTTTCTATGTATCAAGTATAGCTGCTATGACTCCTTGTCTTGGTAGCATGGCCTAATATAGCAGACATCCTGTAGGGTCCAGTGGCACAGCCTCCCCTATCACCCAAGCTGGATACTTGAGGTGTGCCCCTCATGGGGGCTGAGTATACCCTCCTCTTGTAGTCGAACCTTGATTGCTGTTGGCAGATCAATGGGATTTACCCAGGCCAGTCAGCTGCAAGGATTGGCTATGACCACTGAACACCAACCTCTGCCCTCCATGGAGGATCAGCTGTGCAGGAGTAGGGTGGTGGTGCTCCAACATGTTCTATAGCTGTCCACTGGGTATGCAGGCCCTGGGGTTTCCTGGGTGGTATAAGCCAAGGTCAGCCCCCACCTATGTTTTACCCAGGGCCACCCTGCCTGAGCTATAAAGCAATCTGAGATGGTTGCTACTTGTGCTGGGCTTGGAAATTCCCAGGCGGAGCCAAGCTGTGAATCTCAGCTGGCTACTGCTAGTGCTATGCCTGGGGCCACTTAGCAAGAGATTTGGGAGCTGGGGGGCTTACTGAGGTCAGCTGTTGCTTGTTTGAGAGGATTTAGGAAGTTGTGAAGCAAGAGCCAAGAGCAGCCATTCATATGAAAAAGCCATTGTTAACAGCTATAAATTGGGTGGGATGGAGCCTCAGGGGATCTCCAGGGTGAGGCAAACAGTGTTAGCCAGGTTGATGGAGTGTCAGGTATGGCAACCCCTTGCCAGTTCTGTGGCTCTTGAGGGGGAGGGTTCAGAACAGGAACAATGGCCTCTGCCTGTTTTTTTGTCTGGAAGAAAGCTGTCCCCCAGCTCTTGTCTTCATGCCAGACACTTCATTTCCTCCTTGTGTGCCATTGGTGCCTTTCAAACTGCTATCCTGGTGCTGGAGCTCAGAGGGAGTGAGTCTGAGTAAGTCTGTGTGTGGGTTCTTTAAAGGGAACTGCTTGGGCCTCCAGTATTTTCTTCTACTGACTCAGTTTCCACTGATCTTTGCAGCCAGAAGTTATGGGGACTTATCTTCCTGGCACTGGAACCATGGGCTAGAGCTGGGACTCCTCATCCCCAAGATATCCCTCCCAAACTTATATCCACCATATGTGGATGCAGGACCAACCGGCTTCAGGCATCTCCACCTCTCCTACCAGTCTGGATGGATGTGGTTTCTTTAATTCTATAGTTGTCAGATTTCCATTCAACTTGATTTGTGATGGCTCTAAGTGATGGTTGTTCTATAATTTAGTTGTAATTTTGATGTGGTTGTGTGAGGAGGTGAGCCATGTTTACCTACGCCATCACCTTGACTAGAAGATCCTCAATGAATTCTTAATTCACCTTCATTCAGACAACAAATATTTACTGAAGATCAGTCATAATTTCTAACCTCCAATTAGAAGGAGCTTCTTTTCTACCCTTCTACTTCTTACCAACTGAAATTCATCTTTCTTTTTCATTGCAGGTTGTCTTTTAATATACCCAATTACCCTCAACAACAGTAAATATTTCTTGAAGAAAGTTCCATAAATGTTCAATTTGAGGTGTGTACTAAGTCTACCACATATGATCTTTAATAGGAATAAATAATCTAAAGGAATGGATGATAAAATATTCTCTGGTCTCACCGGTTTAACTGTTCTCTTTAATCTGAACTCTGGAAACTGCTTTATACAGAGTCCAGCAGAAGGCAGGCCTGCTTGAGTGTGGTTGGTAGGGTAATAACATGGGTGTGATAACTTACAGTTTTAATTTGAACATTTTACCTAAAATGTCATGTGGTGTGCTTGAGTGTGATATTTTCATGTTACAGGATTACATGCTTATAATTTTGTAATAAAAGATTTTGTAATTAAAAAAGGGGTATTATTTGTGCTGGACCCTGTATATTACTTACTATTTCATATAATGTTTATGCCTTGTCTCCGGAACTGCAGTTTAAGATTCTCAAGAACAAGGATTAATTCTTATTCTTTCACTTCACACTGCCCCGCAAATCACTTTTGGTTGACCTTTAATTGATGAACATGAAAAATGAGCAGTTTGGAGGGATGTCCTTGAGAAAGAAAATTAACTAAAAGGGGAGCAAAGCAAAGGAGAAGAGGCGCCTGTGCATTTACACCTGTTTATGAGAACTAAAACCAGCTAGTATTTCAAAGCCTTGGAAGACACTGATGCTGTTTTTTTTTAAGAGGTGTGTAGGAACTCACTAGTGTGATTGCCCATTGACGGGGTGCGGGGTGCGGTGGCGAGACCCCGAGAGCAGCTAGAGGCTCTAAGTGGAGGTGGCGCTAGCCTTCCCGCGGTCCTCTGACCGACAGGGGGAGCGCTGCTGAGCGCCGGCCCCGCCCTGCCCCGCCCCGCCCCGCCCCGCCCCACGCGCCCCGCGCGCCCCGCGCGCCCTCCCGTCTCCCCGTGCCCCGCCCGCCTCAGGCCGAAGGCCGGTTCTTCGTGGGCTCGCGTCTGGCAGCTTACTTGCCGCCCCGCCCCACCAGGCTTCGCCGCTGGAAGGGTAACGGTTACGAAGCACTTTCACGCCGCTATTTCTGCTTAGTCATTGTCTTCCAGGAAACGGCTCCCTCATTTGGGAGTCAACTCTCCTGCGGCGGCCGCAGTGCCAGAAGCCGCAGCCACTAACGCGTCCTTCCTGGGCCACCGCTCCGCTACCGCTGCCCGGCCTCCCTCGGGCCCGAGCGCAGGCCGAGGTCCCGCCGCGCGGGGTTGGGGCAGCCTCGCGCCCAGCTTTTCGGCCTCGGGCACTCTATCTGCGGGAGCGCCTTCTTCCCCGCCTGCTGCCCCATCACCGCCTGGTCCCCTCCGTCGGCCGCTACCATGGGCACGGACAGCCGCGCGGCGAGAGCGCTCCTGGCGCGGGCCCGCACCCTGCACCTGCAGACAGGGAACCTGCTGAACTGGGGCCGCCTGCGGAAGAAGTGCCCGTCCACACACAGCGAGGAGGTGAGGACAGACGAACGTGGCCCGCGGAGACGCGGCGCTCCCGAGCCAGGCCGCGGGTCGGGCCGGGCCGGGCCGCGCCGCGCCGGGCCGGACGGCTCCCAAAGGCAAGGGCGGGCGGGCGGGCTTGGCGCGCACCTGGGCTCCGCCTGCGGGAGGAGGCTGCGGCCGCTGTCCGCGCGACCTCGTACCCAAAGCTGCTGTTGGGGGCAACGAGTCTTTAAAAACTTGGCAGGTGCAACTTCACACCGAGTGACGTCTCCATTCGTGCTTATGGCTGATATCCAAACTCTCAAACGTGTCAGATCCCTCTCCCTGGCTACAGGGTCAGAGAAGGCCAGTACATCGCTCGGTCCCGCCCCCTTCCCTCAGTGAGTCCACGTGAAAAATAGTTTAGAGATTAGTTTTTGAAAAATTCAGATTAAGTAGCAGTAGTGGTAGTAATCCCTTTGGCTTTTAGGATGTTGACAATAGTTTCTCTGTTGGGAGGCAAATGACTAAGCATTCACGTTCGGCCTTGAAACAAAGTATACTCGTATATTTTTCTTGCCAAAGATTAATCTTAGTTTACTTGCCTAAAGACTAATCACTAGTATGAAAGTGGCAGAGGTTAATATGGAATCATACACTCGTTATCTAGCTGGTCATTCCTGAGCGTACAGTCGTTAACGCTGCACAATTGCGGAGGCATGTTGATTGTATGGGACAGTTTTAGTATTTAAAAAATCACAGTAAATAAAACTTCAATTTAGGAGCTCCATGACTTTTGGAAGGTTACTCTGACCCTGTAAAGTTGGATAATGTCTTCATCAGCAGGTCGTTGTATTAAAATATATGTGGAAGGGTTCACCATAGAGGCATTTTTATCTCCCTTATTTTTCTGGTTCAAGCAGAAAGCTATTTTTTAAATAATTTTTTATGTTTCAATTGCAGTTGATATACAATATTGTATTAGTTTTAGGTCTACAACATAGTGATTAGACATTTATGTAACTTACGAAGTGATCACTCTGCTAAGTCTGGTACACATCTAACATCATACAGATAAAACAAATCTTGATTAAAAGAAAAAAAAGTGCTAAGTTATATAACATGATTTTATCAGCTGTGTTCCTAGGTAGTTTCTGTTCTTCATGTATCGATGATTATACAGCAGCACGTGGCATCCCTCTGAGTATGCGCTAGACCTGTGCCCAGGCCTGGTGCTTGGAGTGAGTACCTAACCCAATAAGAATTCTTGGTTGTAACTTTAATAGGAATCAGAATCCTGTACCATCTTCTGTGTCCAGGTTACAGCTCAGTCTGTATGTCTTGTTTTGTTCAAGCCAACCCACTTGGACTATTTCCCCCAAAGATAAAATATTTCTATATTTAGTTTCAGACCTTTAATTTCCTCCAGTTTTTCTGATTCAGTACACCATATTGCATGTATATTGATAATATTGGGTGAAATTTTCTCTTATCTCACTATAACACATTCTAAAGTAGTGGTTTTCAGTATTTTTACTGCAAGCCCAGTAAGAAATACATTTATCTTGCATAACAATATAATATAAAGATACATGGTTTCATGAAAAGACACTATCCCTTATTATATACTGTATATTCTGAGTTTTTCCTATCCCATTTTAATTTTTAAAAACTTTTATTTCTTAATGCAGTATGAGTCACATCCCACTTTTTTTTTTTTAAGATTTTATTTATTTATTTTTAGAGATGGGAAGGGAGGGAGAAAGAGAGGGAGAGAAACCTCGATGTGTGGTTGCCTCCCATGTGCCCTTAACTAGGGACTTGGCCTGCAACCCAGGCATGTGCGCTGACCAGGAATCCAACCCGTGACCCTTTGGTTCACAAGCTGGCACTCAGTGGATTGACTCACCAACCAGGGCGACGTCCCACATTTTTAAAAACATCTTTCAAAAGACTAAATCTGGGTTGTCTGGTTTTTGGGAGGTGCAGCATAAGAGAGAAAAAACTAAAGAAATTAGAAAATATTTTAAGAACACCTGAGATAATGGCAGCATATTGTAGGGAAAATATGCGTGTTTTATTTCCATGTTAAAAAAAAACAAAACTTTGTAATAACCAGGGCTTCAAATTGGGATATGCTACTGAAACAATTTAAGCTCCTTGAATAAAGAAACTGAATAAATTAGTCATTCTTGAGAAGATTTGCATATTGAGTAGAGAGTTTAATTGACTTTTCTAAAAGTTTTCTTCTAGTTCTACTTCCTTGTTTGTTTTTATTCTGTGATCTCTGCCCAGATGTTTGGTTACACTGGAATTTTATGAAATCAGATTTTGTTTTTTTAAATGCACCATTACAGGACTGTTTTGCCTAGTTCTTTGTTGTAATTGTAGTTGACCAGTTGAATCATGTGCTATTTTTAAAACTCTTACACAACTGCAGATTTAATGATACACTATGTTATGATGATACTTATCTTCTGTGATTGTGTGTGTTAAGAATGAAGAAGGCAAAGAACAAAAAAGTACAAGGTTAATGTTCAATCAATACAGATAACATGAAAGATTAAAAATTACTAAGTTTGTGATATGGTCAGTAAATTTGGACTGTTCTATAATTTATACTGAAATTTTTCGGAATCCAAGATTAAAGAAATGGTTTCTAGGAGACTACTCAAAAACCAGGAAAGCCTTAAGGATGCAAATGAGCTATCCTTTCAAAAGAAAATTTCATCAAATTCTCCCATGATTTGAGCCTAAGGGCTACTGATAGAATTGTTAAATTCCAGTCCATCTTGCTGCTTCTTCAGCTTTTACCAATTTTTAAAAGAATATTAACTTGTAGTTATGTCTGGAATGATGATATCAACTAATTTTTATCTACAGACTTAAATTTGATTATAAATGTACTTTCTGTTAAGATATAGACCTTGCAAATTAAATTCATGTAGGTTATTGTTGTGGATTGTAAATCTTAACATAGGTGAGTCTGAGCTGTTCAATCGATAAACTAGTTGTCCCTTGTAATTATCAGTATTAAAGTATAAGCAATAAAGTGCTTATACCCATTTTTATCATAAGTGGTCATAGATCAGATAGTTCAGAAGTTTAGTCTATTGTTGCTATTATGAAAGCGCTTTTGCAATTCAGGGACTTGCTTCTAATTACTCATTTGATTTTTCATTGATTGTTTACAGAATGCAGAGCACTGTGTCCTTGGATATTTATAAGGCATTGATTTCAAACTGCTACTGTTGACCATTTGTAGCCATAAATCAATTTAGTTAGTTATAGAGCAGCACATTTTTTCTAATTAAGAGAATCCATCAGAGTATACTTGTCATGTAGTGAACATACTATTTGGTAAATTTTTGTTATATGTATGAAGTCCTCACTGTGTGAATGTTTATCTTACTTTGGACCACTATCAAATAACTTTGAAATATACTGACATAAGAGATAAAAAAAAATATAAACACTTGAATGAATTTATAACAAATGTAATGTTCGTATAAGAATTTTATTTGTTTATATAAGAAAACATTGAAGATAGATTGTAGGTGCACCCAGGGGTTAGGAAATAACAGATGTTTGGCATGCACATTGACTTCTGTACAATAAGACTGTAGCGTGGTTTTCAGACTTTACAGTACATGGCAAATGCCTGGGATGCTTGTTAAATAAAGTTCTGCCTTTATGCAGTGATTAAGCAGGTCTATTATGGGGCTCAGGAATTTGAATTTTTAATAAATACCATAAATCTGATGTAGGAGTTCCTCTGGTCACATTTAGAGAATCATTTGTTTGTCTTTGAGGAATATAACTTAGTGGTTAATACTAATTCTAATCAGGCTGTCTGGACTTGAACTCCTGTTTCTCCATTATAAACTTTATACTTGAATTTTTTTTGTTCTTTATGGATGTTTTTATGCCTCAAAAGTTTGCTTAAATTTTTATTGGTATAAAACACTTTAAAAATAATTAGATTACTGGTTTAGGTCATCAATATTTGAGAATTAAAAGGAGAATAAAAATAAATACAGGTTTATTTTTGTTGAAGAAAACCTTGTAGAACTAAAATTTTGGTTTGTATGGTATTTCCTATTGATATCTTTTCCCTCCTTATCAAACTGACACATTCTTATAGAAGTACAGAAAAGTGTATAGAGTTTAACAGTTTCAAAATGCATTCTTTTTGCAGCTTCGAGATTGTATCCAAAAGACCTTGAATGAGTGGAGTTCCCAAATCAGCCCTGATTTGGTCAGGGTGAGTAAAATATGGGTCAAGAAATCATGTAATCCAAAGGGAAGTGAAGTAAGCAGGAAATTAATTTCCTTGGTTTTGATAGGGAAGTGAAATAGGCAATTAGCATAAAATTAACTCCCTGTGGCTGATAATGCTGAGATAGCAGTCTGACTCAGCAGGCTTAAGCATGAAACAGAAAATCTAGATTGTGTAGTCAACCCTTCAACTAGACAAGATACTAGGATTCTCTGCTTAATTCCTACCAGTTTCCTCACAATGTATTTTGTTCCAGTTTATAGTTAGCCTGATAAAAGAATAACTATTATTAAACAGTTTTGGTTGGTAAATTGCTTTGCTAGGATATCACCCCAATAATATAGTCACTAGAAATAATTTCTAAAATGTCAGTTTCTGCTGAAACAGTAAGGAACTGCGTTGCATTCAATGTCAATATATGGCTATCATCATAAATGTGAATATACAGAACACCTGTCTGTAAACTACTCTTCAGGAGCCAATTCAGCCAAAAGCACATAACAGATTATGTAGATTATATTAAAAGAATGGAGTAGGATGTGTGCTGGACATATTTGTTCCCCTGGGCATACTGCAGGTTTTATAACTCTATAGCCCTAGACATGTGTTGGTTCCTGAAATGACCATTTCCTCTATTTATGCATGACTAGTAAACACTGCACCAGGTATTGTAATATGCTCAAGAATTGTGAGAAAGACTGCACTGTTTACTTTGTTTTAATCTTGTAAATGTGAGTTAATATGTTTCTGATTAGTATGTGCTAAATTTTATTTTCTCATAAGTTACTCATTTTGCATTGGAATGACTTTTACTTTTATTTTTCTATTGCACTCAGAAAAAATCTTTTGGTTTAAAATGTGTGCGATTAATGTAGAAAGTTTTTAACATGTCATTACCCAGAAGAGATAATACTGTTTTTCATTGGTTTTTTCCCTAAGTAAAATTATCGACTGTACTAGTGGTTCTAACTCCTTACAGGCCTCCCGCCCTCCACTTTTATTTGTTTTTTTACATCGTGCATCCCTCCGAGTACCTGATCAAAATGACTCACTGTTTCCCAGGAAATTGAGAGAGAGAGAGAGAGAGAGAGACACACACACACACACACACACACACACACACACACACACACAGGAAATTGAGAGAGAGAGACACACACACACACAGGAAATAGGAAATTGAGAGACACACACACACACACACACACACACACACACTCTCTCATCTCTCAAAGTCTCTGTTTTCGCTCTCTCTCTCTCTCTCTCTCTCTCTCTCTTACCTGTATTTCAGGGCCTTACAAGCCTTCTGAAGCCCATTCTTTACCAGACCTCAGTAAACAACCCTGTTATTTTTGGGGTGCCCTGTAGAAAATATGTAACTAATTTGAAACATTTTGTATTTATTATAAACATCATATGTTTGTTACAGGAGTTTCCAGATGTCTTGGAATGTACTGTATCTCATGCAGTAGAAAAGATAAATCCTGATGAAAGAGAAGAAATGAAAGTTTCTGGTAAAGTCCAGTTTTCTAATTCATGGTTTCATACAGTAGAAGTATTACTGAAGTTTTGTCAGGCATGGGAGTAAGCCTCTCTTTGCTTCTGGTAATGAATGATTCAGTCACTAAATTTGGGGCATATGAAGATTCTCTGAACATAATTTTAATGTCAGCTCTTAGAGGGAGTTGTAAGAGGTCAGTGTTGGCTACTTAAGTGGGGTCACAGTAAAACTTTACCTTACTCTTCTTCACAAGCAGTTTTTTTGTTTTGTTTTTTAATCCTCACCTGAGCACATTGTTTTCATTGCTTTTAGAAAGAGAGGAAGGGAGAGAGAGAAGCATTGAATGGTTGCCCCTCATACACACCCAGACCGGAACGGACCTGGGAACATAGACGCCCAGACTGGGAATGGAACCCGCAACCTAGGTATGTGCCCTGACCGGTAATCGAACCTGCAGCCTTTTGGTTACAGGACAATGCTCCAACCAACTGAGCCTCACTGGCCAGGGCCACAACTGTTTTTATTAATTTATATTTTGGACTTTAGAGCAGTGGGAAAATTAAGGTGGAGGAAATGGAAAGAATAAAGGGAAGTCTTAAGAACTTCCCTTTATTGTCTACCCAAAGCAGGCATGAGCCCTCTGTTCCTGGTGGGACACTGCCAAACAATGGCTGAGGTAGCCTGGCAGTATAGAAAGAAGTGTGGGCAACAAGTTGCCTAAAGAGAAATAAAATACATATTATACCCATTCAACAAATGTGTCAAGTGACTACCTTCAAGAGATTATGCCAAACTCAAGGTATGAAAAAGTTAAAAGGTTCACAGTTCTTACACTCAGCTCATTGTCAGCATGGCACAGTGATTAAAAGTTTGAAAAAAAGCTTATGAAATTCCAGATACTGGTATAATCTTGGGCTAACAAGTTGTTTAATCTCTCAGACTCAGTTTCTTTATAAAATGGGGATGCATCTGTTTCACAGACTCGTTTGTTAGATGAAATTACAAAAGAAGCACCACAGTGCTTGGCACAAAGTAAAGTGCTAGTTAGCAGTTATTTAGTACCATTTGGGATTGTGTTGTGGTTGTTACTATTTGGAGGTTGAGGGATGGACATACATGATGAGATAGGACATTGTCTTTTGACTCAATCATAACTATCATTTTTTGAGTCTTACTTTGTACCAGGCACTGTACTTGGCATTTTTTAAATTATATTTCTTGTAAGTCTCAAAACAACTCTGTAAGGTAGGTCTGTCCCTGTTCCACCATTAAATAACTTGAAAGTTGTCATACAGTCAGTAAATGGTTGAACCAGGAGTCTATCCAGGTGTGCCTGACTCCAAAACCCATTTCTTTCTATTAATTTCACATTACTATTTGTGTTGAAAAGGAAGTAAAAGCAACATTTTCTCTGTGGTTGATTGCAGTTCATCATGGTTTAGAGTCATCTTGGAGCTCTTACAGGTTGTCCTCAGCTCCCAGAGAGCTTGATAAGATCAAAATTTCCCGTATGAAGAGCTTTCCTCTCTCTCTACTTACCTAAAAATGCCTCTTTCAGAGAGAGAAGGCCATTTCAAATGTCACAAATTCAAGGCCAGAGGGGTTGTGGTGGGAGGATTTTTAGAGTATAATGGGAGCTCAGGTGAGACCAAAATGGTAAAGATTGACTCACCCGGCAGAAGAACTATGCTGGCTTTTAAAAGGAGAAGTAACATGAGGAAAGCAATGTTTTAGGAAGATTATCTAGCAGTAGAAAGGAAAGGAGAAATAAAAGAAATGTACAAGGAAAATTTATTGTGTCTGTTGAATGCCAGATACTTTATAGCGGATATTTCATTAACCTGTTTTCTTCCATTCCCCTTTTGAATTTTCTCTCTTCCTGCTTTCCCACTATTCCGTTTATCTATTTGAGTAAATTTATATTTTTGAACAGTGAATTTACATAAAGTAAATACAGACATGTAAAGTTAAGTTGAAATCAAGCCAAAACCATAATCTTATAAATTTAGAAAACTATTCAAAATTTTGCTGGTTAAAGCTGAATAAAAAAATGCCAATTAATGTGGCCCTGGGTAGGTGTATATTGTACCTACTGAATTAGCAAATATATATATTTAGAAACATTTATTTTTATGACATTCTATATTGTCAGGAGAACAGCTCTTAACTTTCAGTGGTCTGGTAAAACTTAGGAGATAGATAAAACAGAACAATACAAAAAAGATTATATTTTTTGACTCATAATCTCATTTCTGACAATTTGTCCTTTGGAAATCCTTCAGCATCATGTGGAACAAAAAGTTACCAAGACGTTTATGTTAGCATTATATGTGATAACAGAAACCTAAAATTAATCATAACGTTCAAAAAGCAGGAAATCGTTTAGTAAATTATACCCTATCAAAGTTACAGAATAATGTTCAACTATTAAAAATGAGAGTTGGGGGGTTAAGTGGTGATGGAAGAAGACTTGACTTAGGGTAGTGAATATATAATACAATATACAAATTCTATATTATAGAATTGTACACTTGAAACCTATATAATTTTATTAATGTCATTCCAATGAATTCAATAAAAAAAGTTTTTTTAAATGAGCAGGTAAAATTATTCATTAAAAGTACAGAGAACAGAAAAGTTTAAATAGTACTTGCTTTTGTGAGACAAAAGTACTGACAAGTACTGGTGGTGAGACAATTGGTATTTTTTTTTTTTAAGGGCTCTTTCTACTCATTTGTAGGTTTTCCTCACTTCTAGAGTGAATACATTACTATTATGATAAAAAATTAAGAAAACTAAATACTGCATAGAGATATAAAAAATATTACATGATTATAAACCAAATAGAAATAGAAACAGTGTTAGACCCTGTTTCATATGATCAAGAACTAGATGGTCTAAATTTTTTTGTTAATGATTATATTAAGAAAGTGGGATCGTGGGTTGTCGCTTTTTTTTCCCCAGTTTTCTCTTTATGAGCAATTTTAATTTAGTCTATATATAGATTTTTTAGTTTATTGGAGAAAATAAATAATATGGTCCATTAATATTTAATTTATAAAATGTACCTCTTGAGTAGTAAGTTTCTGTATTTATCTGAACTTGCCTTCTAACAAATGGGTAATTAATAATTGCTTTTTTGTTTTGACAGACGTATTTGTTGGCAACTAGCATATAATTTTAAAATTACAATGGAAATAAACTTCTGTGTCTTAAAATGAAAACTATAAAATTATGTGACTAGGAAAGAAAATATAATTCATTCAGGATTATCTGTCATCTGAATATTAGCAGTGTTAATACAATATAGTAGAACATTACCCAAATGTGGTAATCAGTTTTGTTTTCTTTGTTACCCAGCAAAACTGTTCATTGTAGGAACAAACTCTTCATCAGCAACTAGAAATGCAGTTGACATGGGTAAGCAAAATATTAACTTTTTACAGTGGACTTTAAATTAGTGTGGGTGTATTAGTTATATCTAATATCAAGGTCCACATAAGAAAGAAAGTGAGCTTATTCCAATTTTACCTTTTAAAGTTTTGGCCTAATTTCCTAAGGCTTCTATAGAGTCATATTAACTTACATAGGGTCTTATTTTGATATATAAGAGGAATGTAAAAGATGTAGCATAATTAAATGTTTATTGTATGTTTGGAGGTAGGAATTCTCCTTAATTGTATTCTTAGCCCTTTTAACACTGGATGAAATATCAACACAACCACAACAAGCAAGCAAAGGATTTTTTCTATTTGCAGTACTTGGTTTAAGTTATTTTGGAATTATTAATAATTATTCAGTATTTTTTTTCTCTTAAAACATTCTTCCAGTATTTATATATTTTGAATACTTAAATAATTAGTTCTTTCATATAACTGTTGAATGAATAATCATTAAAATAAACTCTTAAATTATTTTTATAAGAAATTATCAACCTCCATAGATATAGATTAAGGCCATTCATTCAGCTTTTCAGAGTCTCCAGCTAATTTTGTGTTATGCCTACCAATTGTAGAATATTAGGTCAGAATTCTTGTGATCATCTATATGAGATACTAGTAGAAATAGAGAAGACAATGTGATGAAAATAAGGAAGCCACCTAAAGATCCTGGGACCTAGGAAACAAGGAGGCCTGTTCCCCCAGAAAGAGGAACCTAAAGAAGCTGTGGGTTCCCCAAGAAGAGGAAGGTCAAAGAAACCCACTTGCCTGCCACATAGACCAAGTGGATGAAGGGATACTTAACACTTTTTTAAAAGATGGAAATATTCTTAGTAACAGGTAAACTATGAAACTGGGTAAAATAACCTGCTACATAGAAAATTAGTGACTATATAGACAGAATTCAGTGAGATGCTGGAAGGGCATTAGAAATACTTGTTTTTATTATGTAACAAACATTTCTCCTCTTTGTGTTTTCCTTCACATCAGCCTGTTCAGTCCTTGGAGTCGCACAGCTGGATTCTGTGATTATTGCTTCACCTCCTACTGAAGATGGAGTTAATCTTTCCTTGGAGCATTTGCAGCCTTATTGGGAGGAATTAGAAAACTTAGTTCAGAGTAAAAAGATTGTTGCTATAGGTACCTCTGATCTAGACAAAACACAGTTGGAACAGCTGTATCAGTGGGCCCAGGTAAAGGATGGCTGGGTCGCGAGCGCTCTGGGGAGGCCTGTCTTTTACTGTCTTTGCTGTACACTTTTGAGCATCATGCACATAGTGGGCACTCACTGTGGGGTGACTATTCCAAATGTGGAAGTTTTGAGGGAGGCTTTATATACAGCATTGGATTTTGTTTTTTCCAAATATATGTCTAATTGAACTTATTATTGATTTAATTTACAGTGAGTGACAAAAACACTAGAAAATGTATATTGAAGCACTGATAGCCAAACAAGTTGTGTCTGTTTCCTTCAGTTTTACTTATGTCATAAAAATATTACATTTTTCTTTACATTTTAATAGGCCATGGTTCTAATTTCCTAAGTAAGGGGATATCCATCTATAACAAATATTTTGCTGATTGTTATTTAAAGATAAATAAGACTTAGTTCATTAAACTTGATAATGGAGTGGGCATCATAAATTAATCCCCACCACTATGTGACCTAGTAACATACAAATTATTAGAGAGGTTGCTTACTAGTGTTTTACCTTTACTCTCTGTATCTCTCTTTATTCCTTATACTTTATCCCCAGCCTCGTCCTTTCCAGAACTTTCAGTTTCTTATGGACAGGAAGACCCTAGAGAAAGTGTTGTCCCTTCTCCCTTTGACTTGGTGGTAGCTGGAATGTGGCCAAGATCCTGCTGGCGAGACTTGGATGATCCAGAATGTACCTATAAATTAATCAGAGGAGCTATTAGAAATTATCTAATTCCTCTCTTTTTTTCAAAATGTGTCTGATTAATAATCATATTTTATACTTTAATGTTAAATGTACTTATCATCTGTATTTGATCCTCTACATTTAAAGCATATTCCCTCTGTAGTTAGAACCATCACACTTAGAATCAAGTTTCTGTTGAAGCAAATGTATTAGGTTGAAGGTTCTAGCAGGGTACTTTTTTTTTTTAACCTCACCCAAGCACATGCTTACTGATTATATAGAAAGGGAAGAGAGGGAGAGAAACATCAATTGGTTGTCTCTCATATGTGCCCAGCTGGGAACTGAAACCACAGCCTAGGCATGTGCTCTGACCAGGAATCGAACCCATACCTTTCGGTTTTCAGGATGATGCTCCAACCCACTGAGCCACACTGGCTCGGGCTAGCAGGACACTCTTTAATAGTGTAGTACTATATTAACTTTTCCCCTCCTAGAGCTATTTTTTCATTCCCTGTTACTACTAACAGGAGTTAGAAAAGCATACATTAATAAATATATTAATGTAAAATTATTTGTTAAATGTAAATTTATTAATGTAAAAGTATTTATTAAACTTTAAGCAATATAGAATGTGATATTTCATATTTTCTAAAATTGAGTCCTTGTATTACTATCTGCTTTTAGTAGTTCTTAAGTTAGTGGAGATACCATGATTTTTTTTTTCACTTGTAGGTAAAACCAAATAGTAACCAAGTTAATCTTGCCTCCTGCTGTGTGATGCCACCCGATTTGACTGCATTTGCTAAACAATTTGACATACAGCTATTGACTCATAATGATCCAAAAGGTAAGACAGATTCTTATTTATAGAATTTGATCATGAGTGTTTAGGTTACAAGAAGCTACTTGTTAAAATTGAATTTCTAATTGTGTACAGTGATAAAGGTACAGTGCTGTTACCTAGAACTATTCTCAATGGTTAGTTCAAAACATATATGCCCTTGTTTTAGTTTCAGAGAGCTCTAGTTTTGTTTTCATACCAAAGGGGGAAAAGTGAAGGGATTATTTCCTGAACATTGGTCTGTTGAGGTTTATAAATATTAAGCAACACAGAAAAGATCTTTTAAGATATTCTAAATAGTATCATATATAATCTTCTCAAGAACAGCAAAGATTACACCAAAGAACCATTTATAGTAATTAAAGAGGATAAATATCTGGAAAAATAGGCAAATAAAATTTAATTTGAAACTTAAGCATTTTAGGATTAGTAATTGAATAGGTATTTTAGTATCACAAATATCAGGACATACATGTTCGGTGCTAATCGTAAACTTTTTTAATGAGAATGGCTGTCTACCTTCTATGGAATAATTTTTTGTCAACTTTTATAGAACTAGAAAAGCTGGGAAGAGAATGTTTACACTTTATACTGTTAATTACTCTTTTCCATTCCCATTTTTTCACTGTTTCATACAGAGAGAAGGAGACATTTTGCTTAGTAAATACACAGACTCTGTGAAACAGTATTTTTGGTATAGTTTTAAGTGAGAAATGTCTTGTGAAAGTTTTAAATCTCCATATTGGAGGAAACTATATTTTATAGATGATTCCTGGAGAAAAAATTCAGTTTTTATTTTCATCTAAAAAGATAGTATTAAGTTAGTGGTTTGATTTAGTTTATCTTTAGGATGCTTATGGGTAACCTCTTCAGACTATACCAGGGGTCCCCACCCCTGCCCCCAGCTGCAGACTGGCACCAGTGTGTTAAGAACCTGGCCACCCACGAAGCTCGCCTGAGCTCTGCCTACTGTCTTCCCCCCTCATCTGTCTGCTGCAAGCCACTCCCCTTCCACATCTTCCATGAAAATGGTCCCTGGTGCCAATAAGGTTGGGGAACCACTGCTTTATACTATTATGTTAGCCATCTGCCCCATTCTCATTTTTCACTGTTTTGTAGGAAGAGGAGGAGGAATTTTAGTTTGTTCCTCAGTAGCCAGGCATCATGCTAAATGCCTCAGAGATTACCTGTAATCTTTATAACAACAGAAACTAGGCATTTTATGGATGAGGAAATAGGGCCTCAGAGTTTAAGAAACTAGCCACGGCCACTCAAATGGCATAGGGCAAAGTCTGAACTTGGACCTAGGTCCTGGCTGAATTTGGAGACTTTCCCTACTATGCTGTACTTCCTCTCTGATTTCATATATTCTAAATAGTGTCATACATAATCTTCAGAATTCATAATCTTCTGATTTCAGAGAGGTAGTACAACATACTGTATACATTCATTTTTTGAAAGTCATTTAGTGAAAAGCTAACAAGGAATTGCTATTGCTAATTTATTCTGTAATATAAACTTTAAATTTTAACTTTCTGTATGTTGGTAATAGTCTATCAACTTACCTGCTTACTATGGGTTAGGGGCTCCTCCAACAGTAACTATGACCAGTAGCAGGTGTTACCAGTAGCTAATGAATGAGCCTTTACCTCCATCTTGAAAAAAAAAAGCCCTATACTTTTTCAAGTAGGAAAGAAAATAGGAAAAGAATAATACATCCAGTGTTTTGTTTCCTAGTTATCTAAATGTTGGCATGTGTGGATTATGTGCTAATACATCACATAACTGATGGCAAAATATAGTGCATATGTAGATGAGATGAGGAATTTAATCTTTTTTTGTATGTTTTTGTTTTACTGATGTAATTTAACACTTGGATGTTATAATTTTAATTCTAAACCCTTTAATTAGAATTTATAGGTTAATCCTGCATATGCAATTAATGAGTTTTCATACACTTTGATCTATAAATGAAGCAATTCTTCTCAGAAAAGATTTGTTGTGTTTACTGATTCTAAGGAGTTAATGAATAGCATAGTTTTCTAATTTTATGTTGTTGATATAAGAAACGTCCAGACCTATAGAGAACTTTTATAAGTTTATTTGAGAAAACTGATGACAATGCCAGGGAGCAAGATCTTAAGTACTCCTGAGAACGACAGTTTGCAGCTTCTCTAAGATATTTGGAAATAAGGAGGGAACAGATGAAAGGTACAGGAAAGTGGGAGAAAGGGGAGGTGGGGATTGGATTACAGGTGAGTTGACAAGATTATGTGCCCTCTTGAGGGTAAGGTTAGGCTCCCAAGGGTCTGAAAAAGAGGCATTTCAAAGATGTTAACCTAGATGCACAAATATAATGGACAGGGCTTGCTTAAAGCAAAAATAGACTTTTTACTAAAGAAGTTATATGCCTGGGATGTCAGTACAGCTAATTCACGCGCAGCTCACCCTGTGAGGTTACTTTTAGTTAGGTTTATTACAGGGCCCCTTTTTTGTCCACACTGTTGAATGTTTTGTTTAAGTCATCAAGTTATGAGATATTTCATTGTGCTTGTCATCTAAGATAGAATTTTTTTAAGTCCTCTAAAACCCTACCTCTGCTCTAAACTATCCTTATTCCTCAGGAAGTAGGTATTTTCCATTACTCCGTCCTAGACGTTGTGATAACAGTTTAACTACAGTCAGGATAAAATTGTGAAGTAGGATCTTTCCCTTTACTTGCTTTACCCCTTCTCCATTCCCATTAAATCTAATCTGTATTATGCCTTCTTCCCTCAGGATCCTTTTCTGTGTTAGACTATCTGATAAACAAATCCATGTTAATGTTAGTTTTCCAAAGAGACATTCACATTCTATTTAAGAAAACTCATTTACTGGCTATGTGATCTTGATTAAGTTATCTAACCTCTCTGCCTTGGTGTCCCCCTGTAAAGAGGGATAATATCACCTGTCTCATAGGGTTAACATGTGGATCCAGTGAGTTAATACATGTAAAGTACTCAGAAAAGTGCCTGGCACAGAATAATAGGTAACACTTACTGAGACTTTATTATTGATGCTATTCAAACATCACAGCAGTTCATTAGGGCCAAGCAGGTCCTTTAGTGCTCCCAAATCATGTTTTATAGGTGGTCACCTAATACCTAATTGTATGCTTGGTTCTGACCCTGGTGGAATTTTTTCATATTGATTGATTAATTCAAAACCTCCTATGTGCCAGGCATTGTTTCTAAGTGCTAGACATATACCAAGTCAGACAAATCCCAACCCTCAAGGAATTTATTTTCTAATGGGAAGAGGCAAACTAAGATAAATGTTAAATGTGGTAAATAATGATATCTGCTATGGAGAAAAGGTGTCTGAGGGAGAAGAGTGCCCAGGTAAGGGATTGTTGTTCTAGGTAGGGTGGTCAGGGAGGCCTCCCTGCCAAGTTGATGATAATCAGACCTGCAAGAAAGGAGAGAGCCCTGTGAGTATCTGGAAACAGTGTTAGGGAAGAGGGAGCAGCTGATGCAAAACCCCCAAGGTATGAATATGCCTGAGGGTTCCTGGATATAGCTATGGAGCCAGTGTTGCTGATGAAGAGGAAGTGAGGAGGGGAGTGGTAAGTCAGAGCAGTAGCTGAGAGCTTGGACAGAATGTGGAATTAGAAAACAGTGATTTCATCAAAGTAATGCAAATGAAAAGATAAGCGTTGCATTGGCAAAGATTCTTTAAATGATTGCTGGCGCTCCTGAGGATAGGGTGAGATCGGCACTCTAACAGCAACTGCGGGTGAAGCGTAAAGGATGGCCTTTCTGGGAAGCAACTGGCAACATGTTATTTTTCTAGTCTTCAAAACGTACTCTGACCTTGTCATTCCATAGCCAGGCATGCATTTTAAGGATGTTCATTACAGCATTATTTTTATTAGCAAAACATTAGGGGAAAAACCTAAGTTTTTGGCCAACAATAAAGAAATTCATAAATTATGATACTTATATAATGTAATATTGGGAAAATTATTAACAATGATGCTTTCATGAAATATTTAATTTCATGGGAAATACTTATATAAGTGGAAAAAATAAGTAAATTAGGCTGTAACTACAGTATGATTTCTGGTTTTTAAGATACTGAGATAGATAGGTATAGGAAAAAAGTTGGAAAAAATACATGGCAGTAGAAATGGTCGGTCTGTGGATGACAGGATAATGGGTACTTTTTTTTTTCTTATTTCTATTGTACTTTCCTATATCTTCTAGAATTAGAATCACCTGGAGATGTTAAAAAAAAAAAATACAAATGTCCAGGCTCCATTTACTAGAAGTTGTAAATTAAATAGAGTGGGGTACAGGTATAGATGCTTTTGGAACAACTGCCTGGATCTTTCTGACATTCTGGTTTGGTTTCACAGCACACATTAAAGATGAGCATATTTTAGATTCAGTTTTGAGGTGTTTCGTTGTATTTAAATGCTTATACCTCCATAGTAAAATGCTTTTGTTTTCAAATTAACTCTGGGTTTTTATTTGTTGTTGTTGTTTTTTCTTTTTTTAAGAGCTGCTTTCTGAAGCAAGTTTCCAAGAAGCTCTTCAGGAAAGCATCCCTGGCAGTCAAGCACATGAGTGGGTGCCACTGTGGCTGCTGCGCTATTCAGTCATTGTGAAAAGTAGAGGAATTATCAAATCCAAAGGCTACATCTTACAAGCTAAAAGAAGGGGTTCTTAACCATGACTTAGGATCATAACCTACTGACTTGTATTTTCCTTGAATGTTAGATAAAATTGAGATGTGTAAGAATCTATTAATTACTACAGTGTCGTTGAGGCAGATATTCTTTAGTTATATTTTTGATGTGTTATCTGTCAAGTTTTGAATACTTCTCTTGCCCCCTGTCAGTTCACTCACATGAACCTCTGTATTGTTTCCGTTAAACTATTGTTTTCTAATTGAAATTATCTACGAAGAAATTTGCAATATATTTTTCCTTTATTTTTATGACTAACAAATCAAAATGTGTTGTTAGATATATTTTGGCCTAGGCATCAGGGTAATGTATATACGTATTTTTTATTTCCAAAAAATTAATTAATTGCTTCCTACTCTATAGTATAATTAAGCAACTTGGCTACAATTGTTAAAACTGAAATACTGGAAGATATTTTTCCTGTTAAGATGATTATATCTCAGAGTAACTGGTGTAGCTGAGATCTACTAGTAGTGTAAATAAAATTCATTTCTTCAATACATGGATAGAAACAAATTTTTCTGTTTACTTAGTAACTTAATAACCTTGCTTGTAATTTACCTATAATGATTTAGCCTTGTATTCTTGTGCCATATTTTCTCTTGCTATTATATAGAAAGACAAACCAAAGTAAATCTAAAAAAAGCAGACTACAAACTTCGAAATGATTGTTTGGGGGTTTTATAAAAGCAACTATTACCACCTTCAGATTCTTTTTAATTCTTGATTCATCCTTAATATTTTGCTATTCATTCAAGAATATCCAATCAGTGTTGAGCACTTACCATGTGCTGGGCACTAGGGGTTCTGGAGAGAGGAGGGCACACAGGGATTAAGAATTAGTTGTTCAGTATGTGATATTTATTCCCCACTAATAAGTGACTGCGAGGGACTAAACACCAGAAGAGATGTGAAAAAGTCTTTAATTTATGGGCAGCATTGTCTATTTAGACAACTTTGTTTGAGATATGGTCTTAATTATTTAAAAGCAAAACAATATAATCAAAACTTTAGAGCTAGAAGAGACTATACATCATTTGGTGTAATTCCTCATTAGTTTAAGAAGCAGAAAACAGCAAATAAATAATCTGTGACCTTCGATATATACTATATAGGACTCCTTAATTCTATAAATTTGAAAAGTTCTTTAAAAATTTCTTAAAACTCAATCAAAACTTTTAAACCATGTATTTTAATATATGGTTTTTCTACACACACACACACACACACACACACACACACAAATATATAAAACTAATTTGCCCAAGTTTTTTCAACTTACAGAAAAGAACTGTGGTTACTCAAAGTGAATACACTAGACTTTTTCTATCATAAATAAGGTTTTGTGGTTAGATAATTTGATCATTAGAATTATGTTAAATCAGAGACCTGCTAAAATTTGTTTAGACTTCAAGCTTCCTAAAGCCTTTGATAGCCTTTATATTAATTGTAAGTAATGTTATTAAGTGTATATAGTTAACTTTATTTGGAAATGTACAACATTTTTCATTAAAGTAAGTCTAAACAAATGCTCATTTTAATTTAAGCCTATATACAGTGAGTTGGTCAAGATGTTTTAAGAAGGAATTTTAATATCACATTTATTGTTGTTTCTTAAACCCTGGACTTAAAAAAATGGATTGTTTGAAGGGTTATTTTGAAAATGGGAAAAAAATTTATGTTGCTAATGTATACAACCTTAAAAGGAGCTTTTCTGTGTTCTTTCCGCCCACTTCTGACAAAGATTATAGATTCATTTTGTGAAGGGGATCATGTATGGAATTTTTAAATGAATTTTTGTTTATTTCACTTCTGTACTTTTAATTTCTGTTATTGAATAGCCATTTTTTTAAAAACTGATTAAGGTTTTATAATTTTCCAAGCTGATGTTCACATCTGTGTGTGTGTGTGTGTGCGCGCACGCGCGCTATCAGATAATAGTGAATACTTTTAAAATATTTAAGAACTTAATGTTTAAAAAGCCATAAAATAAAGAACAGTGATACTACCAAATAATTGCTTAAAGCTGAAAGCTAAGTTATCAATAGTGTCTATGACAGGTGTTTCCTGGGGAGATGTATATCCAGTGGACCAAAATAGAATTTATATAACTGTTTTTTTCAGTAAAACATGAAAAAAAACTGCAGTTTATTATTACATTTCCAAAATACACTGGAGCCTTACTTTAACAAAATGTACTGTAACTAGGAGTTTGTTCTGTGATAAGTATGTCTTGAATTTTCATCCAAGAAACTGTAGTCACCAGAAGGACCAAGGTATCTTATAAAAATGTTCATGTGGTATAAATTCTGAAGCCCTCTTGTGCCAGTAGCTAGTAGAGTATTCATTTAAGGATAACCCATGCTACAGCTTGGATCACAAATAATAGCTAATAATTTTTTCCATTCTCAGAAAAGATAAAACAGTTATGTGTGAAATAGAAAATAAAATAATTCTATTTGAATGAATGTTTCAGACTTCTCCCTACCAGAGCGAAGTAGTAACTGAAATAGAATCTCGATTTTCAGTTACTCAATGAAAGGTCTAAGCCTCGTTTGATGATATCTCTTTTCAGAAAAGGTTTTCTTTCTAATATTTCCAACCAGCATTTTCAATCTTTGGGAATGTAAGTGATTGATATATTTATTGTATATTGGCTGACAGTTCATCTTTCTGCCAACTGTACATTTAGAAAAATTCAAAGTTCTTTCAATGAGAATTTAAACTATTTGTGTTTTTTATACTCAAATATATCAACTTATGATTCCAAACCCATTTTTTTAAAGTTAACTTCATAGTGTATGAGAACTTGTGCTTGTCATTTTCCTATAAAGTTTGTGATGGGATACATCAGTTTTATTTTTGAAAATAGGTAATGTAACTTTTTGCTACCAGATAATTCAACTGGTGTGCATAGTGGTACACTATAAAATACAGGCAAGATATAAAGCATTAATATTTATAATAGTTTTAAATTTTACTTCTGAATTTAATTGAAGTGTGAGAATATTTGAGTTGTCTCAGCAGTTGAAAGCATCCTGAAACATTATGGTTTTGAATTATTTGAACTTAAACTGAATATAATTTGAAAATAAATTTGAATAATTTTTAAATATCCAAGCCATTCATGCATTCATTCAATAGACACATCAAATGCTTACTATGTGACAGGCTCTGTGCAAGGTATTAGCAGATAGACACAGAAATGAACAAACTCTGTTTTCTAGAGGCGAATAGTATATTTGGTGAGAGGAGATTTGTACAAGAACCAGAGCAATAAAAAGCTACATCTGTTAATAATAGCTGTGGTGAAAAGGAGTTGGGGTATGTGAAAGGAAATGGGGCTTCAAAGTGCTATTTTTAGAAGACTAATGAAGAAACTAGCCGTAGGGTAAGGTCAGAGGAGGAAGTGAGGGTGGGCATTCTGCTTAGAGGCCCTTTTTGCCTGGTTTGTAAATATGCTTTTATTGAATGATGACGTTTATATATATAAACTTTAGAAATTCAGTGTAAACACTTTCTTCAAGAGCTTGTGCTTTCTGGATAGAAAGGAATGACTTCTGTTGAGACACGAGTAGGTAAGGTTGGAAGTCATGTTTTATAGAGACCAAAACTTGCCCAAATCCCCTAAATATATCAGGATATGGCTTTAGGTAGTTTCACTACCAGAAAAGTCACCTTAATGTGTATCCCTCAGCAATGAATAAATGTATAAAATGTCATACAAGATTTATGTGTGTTGATTCATTATTTTAAGAAGGTTCATATTGTACAATATATTTTACTTGTTTTGACTTAGCTGTTTTCCCTATTTCTTTATTCATTATTGATTCTTGCATCCTACTCCCTTTATGTTCACTTTCTTAAGTATGTGCTTAGTAATTATCAAAGGTCTTTGAGCAGTAAACTTTTAGGTCCTGTTTGAAAATGTCTTTATTTCTCAATCTTAAATGATCAGTGGGCACTATAGAACTCTGTTTCCAAATACTTTCCTTCAGCAACTTGAAGATATTTCACTGACTTACAGTATATGTACTTTTGGTAATTAAAATCTGGATTTCTTTCCCTAGAAGTAATGTCTTATCTACTTGCTTTTTAAGTTTTTAGTTGAAATTTTCAGCTTATTTTGATGTGTACAGAATTAGAATTAGTGACATCCTGCAAACATTGCATTTCTGTGTCTTCTGGACCCTTCCCACCAAACATTAAGAAAAGATGTTTGCCTGTGAAAGACTGAAAAGTCCTGCCCTAGAAAAACCTGTTAACTTTTTTTTTTAACCTTAAAATGTTACAAATGTATTTGTCCACAGACACTTCCCCGTCTTTTTTCCTTACCCTGCCACAGAGTTCCTTAATGCCTAAGGCCACCCCAGGGAATGATTGTGGAGTAAACGAAATGGATCTGTTTTAACTGCCTTCTATTATTACATCTCAGACACCAGAAACCACCACCACCCCCTTCGGTCTAAGTCCCCCTCCCATCCCCCTTCTCTCCTGTGCTGAGCATATTCCTGGACCCTAGTGTCCCCAGGCCAGGGAAGAGGATTGAGGTAGAAAACAGGGATTGGGCCTAATGGGTTGCCCCTCCCTGAGAACTGGCACAGTTCTTAGTACTTAGCCAATGGACTGACTCTAATTGAGGCAACCCATTTCCTGGAAGATGGAGGGTGGGAGGTGGGGAAGAACAGATGGAGGTAGAGCCCTGAGGCGCTAGTAGCTTCCAATTCCTAGCCTTCTTGTAGGAGGGCCCTTGTTCATTCTTGCTTCTCTTTTCCCATTGATAACCCATGTGACTGAGCAGAAATACATACCCCACCCCTACCCCGGGCGTGACATTTCCCAGGGTTGACCTCTTCCTGGGACCATCTCTGGAGGCAAACTGTTCCTTCCACCTTCCATGGGAATTTTTACCACCTGCTCCCCCATTCCGTCTGTTCTCTCCCCCGCAAACACCTTCAACCCCAATTAAGTAAAATTTCCCCTGTTGGCCAAGGCAATTTGGGCCACCCCAGTGTTGCAGAGGCAGTGTGTCTGCAGAACAAACACTACGTGCAGGGCCTTGCAGAAAAGGAGACGAGAGCTTAGGAGAAACGGTAATGTGCCCCTCCCCCAGCCCCCACCCCTGCCCGAGGGAAGGCTGTCGGAAGCGTGACTGGCCCCCTCAGTGGTGTTGGCAGCCTCCTCCATTGAGGCCCTCGGAGGAACAGCTTGGTGAGGGGGCTGCTGAACTTGCTCACGGTGGTGGCCGCTGGCTCTGGGGACGGGCCTAGAATGGACACGGTGAGGTTCAGCTCCTCGGAGTCCACACAGAGACCATCGGAGGAGCGGCCAAAGGCCACCTGGCCCATATCCAGGCCGGCCACGGAGCCCGGGGAGGCACACAGCACATCCGCGACGAGAGCAGAGCTGTCCATCCAGTCCCGGAGCCACTCCAGGCCACAGTCACAGCGCCACGGGCTGAGGAAGAGAAAAAGGCGGCCCAGGAAGAAGCTGGGCTGGAAGGCGGCCCAGGTGAGCATGAGGAGGTGGTTGCCATCGGGGTGCTGAGCGAGGACGCCCGAAAGGTTCTGGAAGGCGATGCAGCTGCGATTCAGGTAGAGCAGCTCGAGCTAGGCCAGGAATGCGCCACCTGGCCCAGAGAGTTGCTACCCAGGTTGAGCCTAAGTGGGGCTGCGCAGGCTGCAGGCACCATGGGCGGGCAGCTCGGCCAGCAGGTTGTCATTAAGTAGTAGGTGCTCCAGGGCTCCGCAATCGCGGGCGGCCGCGGTGCGGGGGCCGCTGACCAACTGGCTGAGCTAGCGCATTCACCACACGCCCTGCGGGGATCCGGAGGTTATCGTCTCCGGAAGGCTGTGCTCCTCCAGCGGTCCCCTCAGGTAATCTAATCCATCACTTTTGTCATTTTCTTCATTGTAAGTAAATCACTAGGTCCAGCCCACATTCAAGGGTTTGAAACCAAGAGATGAGATTACTGGGGAACTTCTTACAGGTCAAACTTAATTTAAAAGTACTGTTTTATACGTGATGCAGAATGACAATGAATAGTGCCTGTTATTAGAAGGTCCATGCACTAAAACTCTCATCTTTTGGTTAATGCATAAAATTCCAGAGATTCAACCCTTCAGTTTAAGGGTTTAATTAGTCAAATATAGGCTATGAAGGTAGAGTTTTTCTTCAGGTCTGAATAACTACTATATTTTTATAATGTACTTATCTAAAAGTGAGAATACTGCATTTGCCCCAAATCAACTTTGGGTAGAGGGTAGGCAGAGAAGGTAGAAATAGGAAAAAATGGCAGACCTGCTAAGTCCACATAAAACAAAAACAGAACCCTGCAGTGTTACCTACCATCAGACCACCCGTTGATAGACCAGCTCAGTCTTCTCAGATGATGAATTTGCACTGGCATTTTAATTTTGGTACTTGTTTCTTGACATTTATAGATTGTAATGTTTGGGATTTTGTTTGTTTTACTTTAAAGGGGCCATGCTTGCAAGTGAACATTACAAATTAATTTTCAAATACTCTCCCAATTTTCTATACCCACTCCTGTGATCTTAATTTCTATTTTCATGCATTTGCTCATGTTAAAGTTTTTGTAGAGATAAGTTAACACATGTAAAGCACTTAATACCCAGAATATTGTAAGTGCTCAATACTATTAGTATGATTAATGCTGTTACCTTTTGCTGTTTCAACCTCCAGTAGGTTCACTTTCCTTCCTCTGTATACCATTCTACTGCTCTTTAATCCAGCCTTTCTCTCCTGTTCTTCTTACATAGTCTCACTGCTACCCAGCCCTACCAATTCCTTCTTTTTGCTCCTTACCACATTCTCCACAAGAACCAATCTAAACTTTTCCCATTCTTCTGGGCAGATGAATCTTCTACTTAAACACAAAATAGGAGTTACCTATCCAAAATCTCTTCCTAGTTTCTTCTCTCCATTTTAATTTCCTTGTATTCACATTCTCCTCTCTGCTTCAAATTATCAGCTCTTTCCTTCTGCCCCAAAGGAAGGAGAATTCTTCTGTGGCAACACCCTCCATCTTTATTTTTTTATTCCATTCTTCAGTTGGGAATAGGCTTGGCTGCAAATAACAAAAAATCCCCAAATAACAGTGACTTAAAAAAAGACAGGTGTGTTTCTCAGGTGAAGCAGATCTAGAAGTAGGCTGTTTAGGACTGATACGGCAGCTCCGTTGTCTTGGACCCATGTTTTTTTCTTCCTCACTCCTCTGCTCCCCATCCTCTTGGCAACAACTTGCTTGAAAACCAGAAAGTACAACTTTCCAGGGAGTAAAATGAAGTTAAAGAAGGCAGGGAAGGACCTCCTCTCTTTTAAGATGTCCCTTAACACTACACAACACTTAATTTATATGTAACTGGCCGGAGTTCAGCCATATCTGGCTGCAAGGGAAGCAATGAATGGAGTTATTTAGCTGAGTGACAGTGTGCCCGCTGAAAAAAACATCTGTGCTTTGAGACATGAAGAAAACAAAAGTCTCCTGTAATAAAGTAGAATACATTTAGCGAGTCACCCATCCTTTCTCACCTCCAACAATATCCATCTACTTCTTCAATCTCTTTCCATTCCCCTGAAACATTCTAGCTCTCCACACTTCATCCTAAACAAAACCTAAAACCTTCTATTGATTCAGATTTTTTCACTGTAAAATTTTTTTATCACTCTTCTTTACAGTTTAACATTTCTTCCTTTCTGCTTATTTCCAATCCTTAGTCACCATCTCACCTTTAGATTATATAGCTTCCTAACTAGTTGCCGCACTCCAGCGGTATTTAACATAAATATCTTTACCCCAAGTAAGTCTTCAAATTTAATTTTGTTTTATTTATAATTAACTTCATAAATAATACAAGAGTAATGATTGTTTTTAAAGTATAAATAATGCAAACGTCTCCTTCGGCCACACCGAACAAACGAAAGGATAAATAATCATAGAAGCGATTCTACAACTCGTGTGACAAAGGCCGTCTGTCCCTGCGCATTTCACCGTCCCAACTAAGAACTCTCCCTGCAAACGGACAGCCTATCTTCTGCACTGGAGCAAATCCATACCCCTCCGGAATCCACGTCGGCAGGCTGGGCCTTAGGCAGGTGGGGCGGAAATAGGTAAAAGATTCTCGCGAGTTTCCGAATCCGCGCAGAAAATGCGAACGAGGTTCTCTGACGCACTTCCGTGGCGCCGGAAAGGAGGCAGGCCGTGGTGTCTCCGAGTCGGTTAAGATGGTGCTCACGAGGTCGGCGCGGCCGCAGGCCACTAACCAAACTACGCCTGCTGAAAGCTCCGGGCAGAAGGTAGGAAACAACAGGGCTCCCTCATTTCTGCTCGCTGCTTCGCAGAATAGCTCTGAGGGCGCGGGGGGTGGGGGGGCGGCACGAGGGACCCGCGAGCGTTAGAGGGAGGAGCAGACAAGGAAAGTCCAGAGTGGCCAGCCGCGGGCTGCTGCGCACCAGACCCGGCGCTGAGCCTGCCGCTTCCTCCTCAGTCCTCGCTACAGACTTTAACGCAGTTCTAGTGTGGAACAGAGTAGGTAGGTAACTTGTTTTGGGTTAGTTCAGCTCTGTATAGCAGATGAACAGCTCGAGCCTTTTAACGTTACTGTTAACACAGTACTAAGGATTAGTTACAGTCACCAAGCGTGAGCCTAATATTGCAGGGTTCGAGAGAATGACACCTTTGGTCGTGGGGAGGTCGGCGGTGGC